ATTTAAAATGAGAAAAGAAAATTTGATATATTTTATCCTCTTATGTTACCAAACATTTGCATATTTATATAAGCTTGCCTATATTTATAGAAAATAAACTTTTTCCAAAGCAAAAATTTAGAAATTTAATTTTTGTCGTAAAATATTTATAAATAATGGTTTTATGTATCGAATTAATTTTAATCAATATGAAAATAATTTTTTTATTTGGTTGGAGAATATTCGTTTATAAAGATGCGCATTTGTTTTTATTATTACGCGATATTTGTAGCATGCTGTATGTAAGTATACAGGGTGTCCCAGAATTCGCGGATACGGAATGCACAGCGTGATTGTCCGTGCTAAAAGAAACAACTTTTTTCTTTGGCAAAATTGCGTTTGAATAATACTTTTTAAATTAGAGCAACTTTAAACTAACGAATGAGCGCTCTAAGTTACACATGAATCAGGGACGGCGCGCGCACGGCGTGCGTGAGCGTTTGTCTACTTTATTTTACTATTTCGCTAAAGATTTTATAAGAACTATGCATAATATCTAAATATTGTAGGCGGGAAAGACATTATCTCGAAAGAAGATTTGAAAAAACAGTTTCATTTTGCAATAGCAACATAAAAAAATTAGACATTATTAAACATTTAATCAGCCCTTTTCAGAGCCACAAACATTTTTAGAATGTTGGAACAATAATCTTGGATCAAAATTATTCATGTGTTATCTAATTTACTTATTTTACTTTTTTTTTATTATTGCAATTTGTTGCCGGTTAGAAAATGATAAATTTCTGTTTATGACTTTTTTATGTCAGATTATTGTAAGTGCCTTAAAAATCGTCGCGACCGTTACGAGGACCACCCTGTATATGCTATATAACATAGATGTAACGTATATATACATCATATATGGGGATGGAAAGAGAGAAAAGAGATAGAGGGCATACACGATAGGTACTTGAAATGGACAATGGGAGTAGACTGGAAAACGCCAGGGTATATGATTAGGGAAGAGACAGGGAGAGGGTTGATGAGAGGAAGAGCTGGAAGAAGGGCGTGGAATTTCGAAAAAAGACTAGAGGAAGGGAAGGGAGGAAAAATAGCTAGAAGATGTTGGTTAGAGATGAGGGAGAGATGGAAAAAGGGAGGATAGGGGCATGGGAGCAGGAAAAAAAGGAGTTTCTTAGAGAAAGAGGGGTACAAGACAAGAAGAAAGAGGAAAGGGATTATGGGGAGTTAGAAGAGAGAGATAGGAGAAAGCAGAAGGAAGAAAGGGAAAAGAAAATAGGAGAATCGAGGTACAATAAGTGGTACAGAAGAGTGAGGGGCGCGGGCACCCCAGAGTATTTGAAAAAGGGATGGGCGGAAAGTAGATGGAGAAGAGTATTAAGATTCAGAATAGGAAAACGAAATAAGAGAAGGGTTATACTGGGAGAGAGAGGAGAAGAGGACATGTAGAGTGTGTGGAGGAGTGGAAGAGACTTGGGAACATGTATGGGAAGGGTGTACGGGAGAGGGGCGAGGGAGGGAGGAGAGCTGGCAGGATGCTGTGGAAAGGAGGGTGGAGGCTGAAAGAAGAATGAAAGAGGAAAGAGGGGCGGAAAAATTACAAGGAAGAACAGCGGAAGCGGGGGTCCAGTAGAGATAAGGGTTAGCGTAAGATAGACGTAAGTAGTATGTAAGTTAGAGATAAGGCAAGTAGGAGAATAAAGCGGAGAGAGAGAGAGAGAGAGAGAGAGAGAGAGAGAGAATGATGGAAAGGGCGATGATAAAGCGAAACATGTACAAAATGTAATAGATTAAGGTAATAGGTTAAGGTGAATGTAAAGATTGTAATCCCATTGGGGAACAATAAACTTCTACATACATACATACATACAAATATATATATATATATATATTGTATATAATTCTACAAGAAATGTTATAGGGATGTTCTCAGTATATTACATATATTACGTATATTCACAGTATCAGAACAGAATATTCGAATGATATCATGTGCTGTTAGGGTATGATGTATATATGTATATATCTACATTATGATAAAACCAAAAAAGATAATATTAGCAATATTATAGATTTGTATTCAAAATATGTACGCGACACAAACAGATATCTGTGTAAAGTCGTTGCTTCTACGAGACGATAGAACAGAAATAGAGTAGAAATCCAACATATTTTCTGTCTCTACATATTTAACACAATGCGAAAAGCTTGTATTTTATTGCTCTTTCCAAAGTATGCACATATCCTTGACAATTACTCTACATAATGATATCGGTAATGTAACTATAAAGCGTTGATAATATACCGACACTTTTAGTTACACTTAAATGAGGGCGTTCACCCGTCGGAGTTCGCCCGTCGCTCCGGCATCCTCTTAAACGTCAATTATTAGCCGCCAACGTCATAGACCATAAATTACTAAAAATAGACGTCATTATGACGTCTTTTGATGTCACTCTGCTACTTGGGAATAAAGATTGCAAAATACGATTAACAAGATTAAAAATGAGCATTTATATAGCATTAATATAATGGTGTTTTTTTAAGTTCTTATATAATATATTCTTGATATCTTCATGTTTCTTGATATCAGAAAAGATTTTTAACATCTGTTCCTGTATTATCACTACTTCATATTCATTATTTGATTACATATGTATAACATGAAAATATTGTTACACATAATCAAAATGATATTTTTATTCTGCACATGTGGAAATAAAAATGTATTAAAAATAAAAAAATTATTTTGTCCTGACATGTTAAAAATATGAACATTTGAATGTATATTAACTTGAAACATGATTTGAAAATCTTCAGGAGAACTAGGTTTAACCGTGAGAGAGACATCAAACGGAATCTACATAGAAAGTCTCCGTCCGGCGAGCACAGCAGATCGCTGTGGCGCTCTCCAAGTGGGAGATCAGTTATTGGCCATAGATGATACGTCTGTTCAGGATGCGGCAACCGCCGCGAAGCTGCTTAGAAATAATTCCCAGAGCTGTCGTATTGCTAGGCTACAAATATTACCACGACCGTCGAGAACAGTCAAAAGGAGAGCACAGCCGCAAATCCAGCAGAACTCGAATCAGACTCTACAAATGAAGGAAAACCTGACGGTCATTCTCCGACCAGATCATCGGGGCTTCGGGGTCGCGCTTAAGTTAATTGAAGATCGCATGAATTACGTCGTAAGCTTCTTGGAAGCTGGTGGACCGGCGGAACAAAGTGGTGTCCTTTTGCCTGGTGATAAGGCTATCGCAATCAATCGGAGAATGTTACGCGATCTGCAACCGACTGAAGTAGCTAATATACTTGAGACATCGCAATTGGTAAACACACATCTTTTCTTGTTTTAATTTTTATAAAAATAGGATGAAATATCTTTTTATTAATTATTTTTATATATTGGCATAATCAGATCGAGTTAGTGATAGAATACAAAGTAGGTGGACCAGTAGTTCCGAATTCCGGAGTTTTCACAGTGAGGGTAACGAGGCCATTAGGTGGTCAACCCGATCTGGGTCTTACGGTTAATGAGGACTTAATAATTACGGAAGTTCGCCGAGGATCGCTTGCTTATCGAACAGGCAGTTTAGCATCCGGCGACAGGCTGCTCGCGATAGATGGGGAACAATTAGATTCTGGAGATTTAAGACAAGCCGCTCAATTATTACATCGACCCGGCAGTTCAGTAGTTGCTTTAACTGTCAGAAAGCCAGATCCTAATCCAGAAATAAGGTATTTAATAATGTACATAACACTTTCTAGAAGTGTTAAGTTTTCAAGTATCTACTTTTTAAAGACAAAAATACCTATGTAAGGAAACAAAAAAAAATCTGTTAGCCGTGCCCTTTTTAAATTTCGTATTTTTATTAATTGTGCTGCATTTATGGTAATTGTGCCATAAATTACAGCTTAATAATACGAAATTCAACAAATAGTGAAGGGCTAACTTTATACACTGGTGATAAAAATATAATTTTTATTAAAACTTATTGTTTATACAGGGAGGCTCATTTTAAATGACGCATTAATTGATATTTCTCAAAAACCAAGGCTTTCATCAAAAAATGTTTCGTACAAGTTTTGTGATTTCGTGGGGGGCATAACCCAGATAACCAAGCGTGATTAATCATTGACCAATCTAAAATGCACTATATGTGTTGTTAAATGTTTGTTGTACATTTGCTAACATCGAAATAGAACGCATTACTGAATGCAGTAACATTAGAGCTTATAAAAGCAATCAGTTGACGAAATTTCAAGAGCAAGCGATCAGTTATAAGTACACGTTATGTTATCAGCAACAGAACAAAAACTCATAGTTTATCGTTTCATCTAGAGATTACAACGGCAACATGGCGGTAACAACAGAAATACAATAGCCGCGTTCAGCAAAACAATGATTACGTTTACAATGACGTTACATAGACTACGTTGACACGTCACCCCTAATCGGGTTTAATAACATCCGTATAGTTCTAAGACTGGCCAATCACAGTCATTCCATTCTTCAGAGGAATAGCTGTGATTGGCCAGTTTTACAATTATAGAAGTTATTAAACCCGATTAAGGGTGCCATGTAACAGAGCTCATTGAGCTCAATGTGTTACACGGCATCTTTAGGGCCAATTTTACCAAGTCCGGTTAGATGAACCGACGGTTAAAATTAGCAGGGTGGTTGATTGAAATGACATGAATGGTTGGTTTTCCTTCACCTCTATTTTCTGTTGGCCACCTTCTAATTTTAACCGTTAGTTCATCTAACTGGACTTGGTGAAATTGGCCCTTAATCAGGTTTAATAACATCCGTAGGTGTAAAACTGGACAATTGCAGCTATTCCTTTGAAGAATGGAATGACTGTGATTGGCCAGCCTTAGAACTACGGATATTATTAAAGTCGATTAAGAATGACGTGTAAACATAGCCAGTGGTCTAGTTTCCATCAAAGTATTAATTCGCATCTAGTGCGGCGTAAAACTAAATTTAAGTCGATGGAAATACGACTGACTGCGTTCATTTCACTCCCACTCTGATCTACAAGCTTTATCGGAGTGGCAGCGAATTGACACAAAATTTAGGCGGTGGAAACGCTTTAAACTAGATGGTGCCAACTTTTACTTTTCATTATTTCGTAACCATCAATATATAGTCAATATATAGTCTATATGTTGATGTTTGTAACAGTTACCGTTCGTTCGTATTAATTATCAAAATGGAAAATAAACGAGAAATTTGTCAAGAATTATGTTTATTTACATTCACAAGCAAAAGTTAAGTTGGCTCTACTTAAATATCAATCTTCCTCGCCTCTATTCTACTTCCAGTGGAAACAGTACGTTAAATTCGATGCGCACCGAAACAGAATCGGATTGATGACTTTGGTGGAAACTAGACTAATGACTACGTTTACATGTCACCCCTAGTCGGGTTTAATAACATCCGTACATCTAAGGCTGGCCAATCGCAGTCATTCCATTCTTTAGAAGAATAACTGTGATTGGCCAGTTTTACAACTACGGACGTTATTAAACCCGATTAAAGGTGCCGTGTAACAGAGCTTATAGACACATCACCCCTAATCGGATTTAATAACATCCGTAGTTATAAGGCTGGCCAATCACACTCATTCCATTCTTCAGAGGAATAGCTGTGATTGGCCAGTTTTACAACTACGGACTTTATTAAACCCGATTAAAAGCCACTGCACGTGAAAAAATTTTAGTCGTAACCACTGAACTCTATACAGACAGAAATGAGTGATCCCATTGTTTGGCTGTCGCTACTATTTCGCCGAGAGAGAGGAGCGTTTGGATGATGGCATCTCTTTCTAGTATTATCTGATTGGTCCATGGCATGTCACATGACATCATTCTCAGTTTAGATGATGTCATGTAACATGCCATGGCCCAATCAGGTAATACTAGAAAGAGATGTCATCATCCAAACGCACCTCTCTCTCGGCGAAATAGTGGCGACAGCCAAACAATGGAATTGCTCATTCCAGTATGTATAGAGTTTAGTGGTCGTAACCGTAAGGCCGTAAGCAAATTAACCAATCACAATTCAAACATTCTTATTGCGTTTTAGAATGCTTGATTGTGATTGGTCGATTTGCTTACGGCCTTACGATTACGACCAAAACTTTTTAACGTGCAATGACCTTAAGGGTGACGAGTAAAGCCCAGTCTACAATGAGTCGTTAGTCGCAAGCAAATTGACCGACCACAATCGATTATTCCAAGAATATTTTAGGAATAACCCAGCAAACACAGAATATAACTGTTATATAACATGATAGCCAAAGACGTAATTTTGAAGACGTCCTATGATCGTCCAAATAAAGTCCTTTTGTAACTAATATTGGGATTATAGTTCATTTGCCTACCGCCACGTGGTGCGCTATTCATTATCTATGCCCGTATTCAAGTTTTTGTCATGAGCGTATATAAAGCCTGCAAAATGCGGCTAATAACATTGTAATTATTTTTATCAGTTTAATTTCTGATACGATTCCCGTACCAGGAAATTCAGATATTGAACTGATTTTTGGAAAATCGGACAGATAATATCCGATTTTAATTTATTCGGACAATTTTTGTTCGAATAAGTAAAAATCGTTTGTTATTATCTGCTTAAAATATAAAACAAAAATTAACTTCCATATAAATAAAATCTTTAATTTTATAAATTAAATTATTTAGATTTACCTATAATATATATCACATTAATATGTGTTATTATATGTTATTATTGTAATTGGTCTTAATTTTGCCGTCAAACAAACGTCAGAAAATGACGTCCCGTGGATATGACATATCAACGTCATTTTCGGGTCTCATGGGACCTAACTTAGGACGTCTAATTGGTCATTTTGTGACCAAAATTTATCGTCATTGTGACGTCAGTTCGCTACTTGAGTGGTTTTGTAACTTGGTGAAAAAAAGATGAGGATGTGACAAGTGCAAGTTATAGTATAGGAAGTGCAGTGAAAAAGAACAGACTCAACGGACCAGTTCATCCGAGAGCATTATTGTTACATGACTGTAACAATCATATAACATTTTAGTAACATGTTATATTCATGTTATATAACTGCAATTTTGTATGAGTGGGAAATTACAACTAACGATGAACGTTACATGTAATAAATACGTTATATTACTTGTTACATTCCGTTTTATTATGGCAATGTTACAGTTATGTATCTGTGCTTGCTGGGTCCCAATAATATAAAGTAACAGTGACATAACATCAATATTATAATTTTCCACTCAGCAATATAACTGTTACATAAATACAAGACATATTACATTGCAGTTACATTGTTGAGTGGGAAATTATAGTGTGATGTTACTGTCATTTTGTGTTTGCTGGGATACTATCGAAATATACAGGGTGTGGAAAAAATACTGGGATCCTAAAATATCTCGTAAACAAGACATTTGAGAAGAAAATGTTACATAAAGAAGTTGTACGGTTTCAACAAATACATCAAACGGTGATATCCATTTGACCTTGATCGCAGTTATGAAAGAGATCTCAAGGTCAACTTTGAAATCTTAAATGGAAGTCCTTATTTTTTATTTGATATTCTTGTAGCTTATCTCGAGAGCTTTTCAAAATACTATAATAAAGTATTTTTTCATTAAGTACTTTTTTAGTTATTTTGTATCTTATTTTGACATATTTTGATATTAAATATAAAATATTTCGTAAAATATTTAGTTTTTAATAACCTTACCGTAATATTTTGATGTATGGAATAATGAGATAAATCAATTGGTATAAAGAAAATAATTGTTTTTAGAAAAAGTATGTAATTATTTATAATATATTTTTTTAATAACAAATATTTTTTTTTACATCAATTGATTCATCTCATTATTCTGTACATAAAAGTACTACGGTAAGATGATCAAAAACTAAATATTTTACGAGATATTTTATATTTAATATCAAGATATGTCAGAGAATATGATACAAAATAACTCGAAAAGTACTTAATGAAAAAATACTTTATTACAGTGTTTTGAAAAGCTCTCGAAATAAGCTACAACAATATCAAATAAAAAATAAGGATTTCCGTTTAAGATTTCAAAGTTGACCTTGAAATCTCCTTCATAATTGCGATCAAGGTCAAATGGGTATCACCGTTTGATGCATTTGTCGAAACCGTACAACTTTTTTTATGTAACATTTTTTTCTCAAAAGTCTTGTTTTCGAGATATTTTAAGATCCCTGTATTTTTTCCGCACCCTGTGTGTGGCGACAAAGGCCTGGTCAGCCATGATAGCTGCATTCTTTCTTCTCGGTGTGGTCTTTTTTTGCTTTGTCTTACCGAAGACGTCTGATATGCAATAACTGTAGTAAAAATGACGTCTCGTGGATGTGACATATCGACGAGACATTTTCGGGTCTCATGAGACCCCTAACTTAGGCTGTCTAATTGGTCATTTTGTGACCAAAATTTATCGTCATTGTGACGTCAGTTCGCTACTTGAGTGGTTTTGTAACTTGGTGAAAAAAAGATGAGGATGTGACAAGTGCAAGTTATAGTATAGGAAGTGCAGTGAAAAAGAACAGACTCAACGGACCAGTTCATCCGAGAGCATTATTGTTACATGACTGTAACAATCATATAACATTTTAGTAACATGTTATATTCATGTTATATAATTGCAATTTTGTATGAGTGGGAAATTACAACTAACGATGAACGTTACATGTAATAAATACGTTATATTACTTGTTACATTCTGTTTCATTATGGCAATGTTACAGTTATATATCTGTGTTTGCTGGGAATCGACTGTAGT